TGATAAACTACCATTTTTAATGGCATTTGCGCGTACAGAGATCTTGATCGGTTTCGGCACCAAAGATTTAATCCCGGCCCCAGTTCCTCTTATTTCTACAGGCCATCATGGTCAAGACATCTGGAGTGGGAAAAGATGATTTAAGATTTATGTAAGGCGGTTTATAAAGCTGCTATTATGCCCACAAGGATCTCTGGGAGGAGTTAAATGCTCGGGGACAATACTACATCCCTCACTCCGGCCAAGCTGACGTTTCTTGACGTGTCGAAGGGGATGTCACTCACACAATAGAGTCCCGGTCGAGAGGGATCCATATAAGGCCCCTGGGGGCCACTGCAATCCTCAGTGTGTGCAGGACCACTACTGGAGAAAGTTGCATCTGCTGGAACAGCCTGGACTATTGGAAAGAGAGTGTATTGCATAGGAAAACAGGGGGAATCCTTAGAGCTTTCTTTTTTTCTGAAACTAAACGTTCGATGAAGCTTGTTGGATCTCAGTCCCCAGACATGGAAGAGCGTCTCTCCCCATCCGCGCGCTTGGTGCGCAGTCCTGGATCCCAAACGAGGATCCACAGCATTGAGTCCATTTTGGGATTTAAAGGAGAGAATATCTTCCACCCGGCGTTTTCTTATGGATCCGGGAAGCCGGTCAAAGAACCTGAGCGTTTGTCTTCCCCCAAAAAGTCTTCCAAAAACTTTGATGGTGAGTTCTGAGTTTAAAACGGGACCTTATTGCAGCACTTTATACGAAATGTTATTTTTTAAAGTCATGAATAAATATCTACAGGTACATAATAAACATTAGAATACTGATATACGTCTATATGAAATCTATATGAAAATGATTTTTAGTTGAAAACGAAAAAAGGATGTTTAAAACGTGTTTGAAAAACAAGGAAAAGAAACAAAAAGTGTTACATTTCTATTTTATTTAAAAAATACTAAAATATTATTGATCAAATATGACGACGTCAAAATAGTTATATGATGCTGTTAGATATATGAATAACCGTTTAATGACTTTTGAGTGTTTTCGTGTGATGTTAAAAAAGGACAATAATTATATGCGTGAATGTAAATTGAAATATGAACACGTCACGGCTTCTCGAGGAAAACCCTGCATTGTTTTTCTACAGGTGTCTGTAGATCCGCCGTCTTCAGTCCGGATCTGCCGGATGCGGATGCTGCTAAATTGTCGGATGATGAAAATCCGAAGAAAAAGCACCGGCGGAACCGGACCACGTTCACCACCTTCCAGCTGCACGAGCTCGAGAGAGCTTTTGAGAAGTCGCATTACCCTGACGTGTACAGCAGAGAGGAGCTCGCGCTCAAGGTCAACCTGCCGGAGGTTCGCGTGCAGGTGAGCGCAGCATACAGCACACACACGACCCGTGTATTTGAGAAGAAGAATGACACGCTAGCAATAGGATCGCTTTATTTAATAGATCACTGTTCAAGACCTTTCCTCACTGATCCCTTGCAAAGTTAATCAAAACTATTTCTAGCACAAATTCAAGGCAAGAAATCATGTTTTCGTTTTATAAATAATAATAAAATAGACTAAAACAAAATGCAATAGGAATCGAAGCAACCAGGGAATTTGTTTCTTGACATTTTAATGGCAAATAGCAATTGTTATTTTGACCACCAAAAAACTTTAAAAGTGAATTTTAACAAATAAATCTTGTATTCCATTCATTAAAAGTAAAACTTGACAAATATAGATGGTAAGAGAAATGTAGCCTTGATTTTATTGGGATATAATATTCTGATTTAAAATATTATAAAGTCATTTTAGTGACAGCTAATAAAATGTGGCTAATATATATTTGTTTTCAAATATCTGAACCTTCTGTGTAGCAAATTAAGATTTTGGACATTAGTAACTGGTAGAAATCATTGTAATATAACATTACATATAATATGTAAAAAAAAATTGTACAAATATAATACAATTTAATCAAACATATATCGACTTTTTGCAAGTTTGTTTGAAGGGTTTTTGCGAACTATGAACATTTGAACTTTTTTCCAAGTGTATTTGAAAGGTGTTTTGTGAATTATTCATTTATAACATTGTAATATATATTACTTTAATATGTAAAAAATTATATTATACAATTTAATCACAAACTTACTTTTTCACCAGTGTATTTTGAAGGGTTTTTTGCAAATTATGAACATTTGAATTTTTTTGCAAGTGTGTTTGAGTTTTTTTTTATATATATATATTTGGAAGGTTTTGGCTAATTATGAACATTAGATCTGCACTTTTCTATATCTTCCCTCACAGTTGGACTTTTAAACATGTTACTTCTGCATTCTAATGTAAATCCTTCCTATGCCAAATTTCAGGTTTGGTTCCAAAACCGCCGTGCAAAGTGGCGACGTCAGGAGAAGCTGGAGGTGAGCTCCATCAAGCTGCAGGAGTCCTCCATGCTGTCCATCCCCAGATCGGGACCACTGTCTCTGCCGTTAGAGCCCTGGCTTACTGGACACATCACCTCCTCCAGCTCTCCCCTGCAGTCCCTGCCCAGCTTCATCACCCCTCAGCAGGGAGTACCAGCCAGCTACACCCCTCCACAGTTCCTCGGCTCATCCACGCTCAACCACCCTCTGCCCCATATAGGAGCGGTGTGCCCCCCTCCACCAGCGTATCAGTGCTCAGGCTTTATGGATAAATTTACACTAGAAGAAGCAGACCCACGAAACACAAGTATCGCCTCGCTAAGAATGAAAGCGAAAGAACACATCCAGTCTATAGGGAAGACGTGGTAGACTGAGGAGGATGCTGGACTGAGACACTCAGAGACTTGTTTGCATCTCCTTTAACTTTCTAAATCAGACTCTGTTTGAAGAGAAGTGGTTTTCACATCTGTCTGTGGTTCAGAAAACTCAGAGTTTTGACAAGCTTTGTAAAACAAATTCACTGTACGTTGCTTTTTACATTACATCTTTTTTTGGTTCATTTAATAAAGCTTCCTCAAATACGCGACCAGACCTAATTCAACCCTTTAAAAAAAAAAAAATGTAGGATTTAAAATTTAAATCACATTTGTCCCTTTTAAAATCCTCTTCGAACCTTCAGTGCTAGCACAAGGGTTTCGTTTTTTAAGTAGCTATTGTATGATGCAGATGGTCACTTTCCATGACATTTTGTTCAATGCTTTCACATTGTACAGATGAATTTTGTATTTTATAATAAAAACAAGTTTAGAAAAATCTCAAATGCATCCTGTCTCCAATAGTTCTTCTTAATGCGGATTTACAAAATAATATGTTCGTTAACTAAATCACACATATTCTTATATTCCACAATTTTTTTTTTTACATATTTGCTATAATTTATAATATTTAAAAAATATATTTTATATATTATTTTATTTCTATTTATTTCAGTAGGCTATGAACTTCCATTGTATTTTTAAGATATCAATCAAAGCAAATGTTTTGTTGTATATTCAATTTGTAATTAATACCTTCAGTATTTGAGAGAGAGAGTTATTTGTATTTATTTATATATATATATATATATATATCTCCAGTGTGGCGCTTCTCCGTGATTATGCCGCCATCTAGTGGTTGCGTTTGGAATATTATTCCCCGGTAACAACGGACCAGCGTCTTTGTAATCTATCAAATTTCATTTCTAATTATGTGGTGGATTTTTAGGTTTCTGTGTGTGTTTCTGTATAGAAATATATTCTTACCATCACTAAACTAAACTAAATCTGGGGTTATAAAAAAAAAGGAATTTTAAAAATGTCTTTGTGTAAACTTGTACTTTTTCATTTATACTTTGTATAAATAAATAAGACTGATATTATAAATACTTTTGATATACCTTTATAAAGATAATTAGCCTATTTTTCTACATACAATGTAAAAGTAAGACATGTAAACTAAAAAAAATAAAATACAGATTTGTTTTAAAATCCCTCAAATGAAATATCACCAGGTTATCTCAATTTCACAAATTCCTTCATATAGTTGTTTTGCATTAGCAGTTGGGACCTGCAGACCTGTACCAAACCCATCAGCTCACATCTTCATGAACGCACGACTATCACCAAATCTGACGTTTGCCATCTGTGCAGCAACTTTATCAGTGATGCAATTCGATTGAGACTGAAGGGGGTCACATTTCTATTAATGGTCGTTCATCTGTGACAAACGAGGAAAGGAAACTGTGTGAACTAGATGAGCTTAAACAAATGAAAGTGGCTTCAATTGACATCTTTCATTGTTAGAAACATCAGTGTGTATAATTGGAGCCATTATTGTGCACAGACAGCTGAGAGCGGCGAGACCGTTAGACCATCAAGAATTTCCTGCCAGTTGTCACAGACAATGCAGAGGCTGTGATTTAGTTATTCAGACGGTCATTAGTGTGCGGTGAAGAGTTTTCCTGTCACCTGCCTGCCTCTGTTAAGTGACTGCTTGACTAATAAGCAGGTTATGGCCAGCCACCTCAAAAGATCGATCATAACCTGTAACAAATTGCTTTCAGAATGAGACAGGGTCTTTTAACTCTCAAACTACATGTACTAGTCGTGCATTCAGCTCAGCACATTCTCTATTTAGTTGTAATGCATGGACTGTAAGGAATTCATATGTTAATGTTCACCCAAAAATGAAAATCTGTTTCTATTAAACACACAGCTTTTCGCTTCACAAGACATGAATTGATGGACTGGAGTCGTGTTGATTACCTGTGGATTATTGTGATGTTTTTATCAGCTGTTTGGACTCTCATTCTGACGGCACCCATTCACCGCAGAGGATCCACTGGTGAGCAAGTGATGCAATGCTAAATATCTCCAAAACTGTTTCGATGAAGAAACAAACTCATTTACATCTTGCATGACATGAGAGTGAGTACATTTTCAGCAAATGTTCATTTTTGGGTGAACTATACCTTTAATAGTCTTTTTCTAGTCAAGACATTTCAAATGATATGTAAGCGAGCAGACTATTGCTTTTATAAACAGCAGCTAGCCCAACAAGTTAAAGTTTATTAAATATTAATCAACTGAACTGTGAATACAATGGTTACTATGGTGTCAGTTATCAAGAAGATGAATTCATTTATAAAACAATACCATAAAATATACAGAATGATGACACTCAGTTTATGTGTGTTTCTTTGTAGAGATATTGGCATACAAAAATATAACATCATGCTTATTTATATGTTGCTGAATAAAGAGGTTTGTATTCGATCAAGTCAGTTGTCAAGTGAACTTCAAACCGCAGTCTTTTGTCCAGTTGGTCCTCAGCTTTCGTTGTCATCCTGCATTAATAAAGCCCGGAACAAGACGTCCTCAGCCTGTATATGAAATATAATAACGAGAAATATTATTATATAAGAATCAAAGGAAACTGACCTTAAATAAAACATGCATATCATCATTAGCTTAGAAAAATGGTCAACTAAAACTAAAACCATGAAAAGTTTTCATTACTTTAAATAAATTACGCTTTCATTTCAAGAAAATAAATGTTAAAAACTTAAACTTATGTACTAAAATAACTAAATCTAAAACTGAAATAAATAAAATATTCATGACCTGACGAAGGACAAAAGGACTGTGTGTGTATTTCATTTGTATCTTTCTACTTTAATCCAACAGGAACACCCAGAACGTCCATTTAAATATAAATATATATATGACATATACATATACATATGATATATGTATATATATATATATATATATATATATATATATATATATATATATATAAATGACAAAATAAACTAAACGACTAAAACTTTAACTTAAAAATTACATCAGAAAATATAAAAATAAAAACTAATTCAAAATATTAATAAAACATTATAACAGTATCTCAAGGCTACTAAAATAACACTGGTTACAGAAGGTTTGTCTGTGTCTTATTTGTCATTTGTCTGGTCAAAAGTGATTCTTTATTTGCCCAACAATGAAAAATGTTTTATTATACACATTGCAGAATAGTTTTGTGATTACAAATAGATCAGAATCACCTACATGCACTTTAAATGCATCTTGCATGCATTTTTACATTAAAATAACGATCATGTTAAGGATTTCTCTTACCAATTTGACTTGTCTGTCTCTCTCATGACCTTCCTCCCACTGACGTCTCTCTTCCAGCATGCGCTGGAGCAGTTTATGAGCACCGCTCTCCTCTGTGCCCTCCAGCATGCTCTGCGGTGCCATCCGTCCTCTCATGAGCGCATGCAGGAGTGGCAGCAGCAGATGTTTGTTGTATCTTTCCAGCTGCTGATCCTGATCTCGAGTCATCATAGAGGTCTCATCGCCGCCTTCTAGATCCTCAGGTCTGACCTGCTCATCTGTGCTTTTCTTGCCCATTAAGTGCCCTAAAAAAATATAGGTCATTATAGAGTGATTGTTGCTCTGATTTTAAGTTAAATGAATGCATTTAACACAAATATGATAGGTAGGACAGCATCTCCACACTTAAAGGGGGCATAACACACACAGTTTCACCCAATCTCATGTTAATCTTGAGTACCTATAGAGTCGTACTGCATCCTTCATATCTCCAAAATGTCTTTAGTTTGATCATATTTATAAAAGAAAGATACAGCTTTACGATTCTCTCCGGAAAAAGCAGAGCTCCTGGAGGCGCGCCGTGGGCGGAGCTAAAGAGTGACAAGCACTTGGGTGCCGAATGCCAACAAAACGGCATCAATTTGATGCCGTTTCACTTATGCCGAGTTCACACTGCATGATTTTCAAACTCGTCGGATCGCCGTTGTTTTCACACTGCGTGATTATCTGGGGTAGCATTCAGTTGCTGCTGTGTTCACATTGCACGATGGATCGGCGACAGGGGGGTTCACACTGCATGACTTCACAATAGGAAGAATCGCCGACAGCTCTGTCTGGTGCAGGGTTGCCAGGTTTTCGCTACAAAACCCACCCAATTACTACTCAAATTAGACTGAAAATAGCCCAATTGCTTTCGAGGGGGTCCCCCAGTAAAAATCGCGTTTGGGGGGGTAAAATACATATTTTTTGGCGGGGTTCTCCTGGTACAATTCACATTCCAGGGCCTAAATATCACATTATTGGGGTCGCCTAAACATGCTGACATAAAAAACAACCGGCGGCAATCGCGGATTTGGCAACACTGGTCCGCAAATTACGTTTCATATAGCTCCTCCCCGAACTTCCCGCTGCCCTGTATCTTGGTCTCTCATTGGCTGTAGGTCATCGCCGATGTGTTTTTCAGTCAGAACTCATTTCACACAGCGTGATTGTGAATCGCCGACAGCTCCAGATATTTAGCATGCCAAAAATTTCACGGGAGTCGGCGACGCATCGGCGATTCCCTCAGATTGCGTCTTTGATAATTCACACTGCGTGATTGTCACTCGCGTGAACGAGCACCGATTTTCCTCCGATTTCGGGCATTTGTCGGCGATTCGCAAAACCTGTCGGCGAGTGAAAAATCATGCTAAAATCGTGCAGTGTGAACTCGGCATTAACGTCTGCAGTTCTGAATCATGACCGGGATCTTTCATCACTGGGACCGCTCCATCTTTCAGTATCAAACGATGTGCAAATCCAGCTCGAACTGGGCCTTGTTTATAAAATGTTCATCAACAAACACACTTGTGAAAAACAAACTGTATCCACTGTTTACATAACCCTGGGTTCTTTAGAAAGCTGAACAAAGTTATCTTTCCCTTACAACCAAAAGACAGAAATACTCTGTCATACGTCCAAATTGTTTTTTGAAACTTTGTCCATGCTTAGCATGAGAATTCAACTCTTTAACAGTGTAAACAACTGTGAATGCATGAAACAGCATTTAAATTCACTAAAATAAAAATGAAAACAAATAAGAACAAAAGCACAGATTTGTATTAGGCTGTTTTGATTACCCCATTACAGTCACTTTACAGTTAGTGCTCTCATAAAAAGACACTTACTTGTAGGTTTAAAATTCTACATGTCACATTGTCCAACTACAAATATTTCAGTGAAATATATATTTTAGTCAGAATTATTGCACTCCGTACGAAAGAAACGAAGTAGACATGAATGATCGTTGCGCCCCCCCCCCCCCCCCCTTTAAATAAGACTTCACGTGCAGGTTGCAAACAAAGTCACAACAATGCATTTGATACATGATAGTACAACCTAATCAAGAAAAAGCTATATATTAGCCATTTAAACAAATACTGAATCCAGTCTGGTATAAACGTGCAAACAATATGCAATTCGAGCCAACATAATCCATAATTCCTTCTATTCATGAGTAATTGTTTAATACAGCATTAGCTCCACTGAACTCAATTTCAAATCTCAATCTCTAAAATAAAAAAAAGTATCATATTGTACCTGATTTTCTCTTTATTAACAAATTGCATCACGCAAACACACAAAAAGCCAGTTGCTTGCCACCTATTTTCAGCCAATTAAGACACGGCCGTTGCTCGTTACACCCTATGGATCCACTTTCCCTCTACAGACTTAATAAGTGACACTTGAGAGTTTTGCAATCACTTCAGATACATATTTAATGAATGTAGCCTACTCAATAAACTACCACTGGTGCATTTAATCAAGCGATTTAAATGGTTATTATCTGCTAGTGTTTTTGATTTCATTTGCTGAATGTGAATACTCTTAAAACTTTTATTTAATGGTTCACAGCTCATTAGGTTCAGCAACAAACACTCATTTTTCTCTGGAGATCGAAAGTTCTAGATGATACATTACAGGTTCTTAGACCAGCATTTTGGTAAATGCACACACCAATTTAAATTTGATATTTATTTAAAAAAAATGTACATATATATTTTCATTGATACCTGTTTATGTCGTACACTGTAAAATAATTCCGTAAAATTTACTGTAAAAAAATACGGTAGCAACGTTTTAAGTTTTATGGTTTTAACTTAAATTTACACTTAAATACCATAATTTAATTAACTGATATAATGTTAATATACCAGCCTATTGAAATACTGAAATCTGTTTTGTACCTTTATAATACACTGATAACCACCAAATGCAGGTGGTGATGAGAAAGTCACATGATGAACCAAAGCCCATCACAAGCAGCTTTTAAATAATAGCATATATAGAAGGTGCACAAGGTGTCATTCACACAAACACCAAACACCATCATGGTAACACACATGACACTGAAATAATGCAATAAACATTCATTTAACAACATTAGGTGTAACACACAACCCTAATATACAAAACTGATAAGAAAAAACTAAGAAGAAACCTAGTTATTTCAACATAAAAACATCCAATTTGAAATGTAACGCAGGGAATTCTGGGAATGTCAATTTACGGTTATTCACTGTAAATTATACGGTCTTTTTCACTTCCAAAAACGGTATACTACTGTAAAATTAATGTCCAAATACATGTAATGTCCAATACAGTTTTTCACCGTATATAGTAGGGGAATTTACCGTTAACCCTTTAACAGGTTTTTACTGTAGCATTTTTACCGTCTTTTACCGTTAAATTCACGGTAATTTTTTACAGTGTAGCTACTAGGCCTTCTGTATTCTTTAAATAGTATGTAGAAAAATAGGCTACATTTCATTTGTCAACAGCTGCACCTTTGACAAATAAAACTTAAACTTAAATTGTCAACCTTTATTTTTGACAATGTAACGATTATCTTTTAAGCATTTTAATACAGTTATTTAAAAAAGTAATAAATTAAGAGTATGCAGACTTTTGAATGTAAAAAATATGCCCTGCTTAAAAATAAAAATAATAATATACATTTAAATACTTGTAGGCACTGCTTAAAAATAATAATAATAATACAAATGTAAATGCTTGTAGCAACTCTCCTCCAAAACAATACCAGTATATACGTGTATATTTATAAGTGTCCCAAGACCCAAAATATTTTAATTGGTAAATTAAAAATATGATTTTCACTCACCAACAGCCCAGTGATTTCCGCGCGGATAAACTTTTCCAATTGGTTGTGCGTCTGATGCATAAACATGACAGAGCACAACAAGCAGAACGATGGAAACGACTAATCTGTATCTCCAGACGAGGCACATAACGCTCAGGTAAGACTCGAGTCCCTTCAGCTTCTTTGATCTGTACTCCTGGAATTGCTCGTGCACTTATTGCTAGTAGAGGCCCGTGTAATGCTGCATATGGATAATCACTTCATTTATATACTCCGTTACGACGACCACTTAGAAAGTGAAAGAAAATGACGCGATAATTTCGTGCTCTAAAGAGAGAAACTGTCGTGCCAATGTCTGGATGACTCGTGTGGGGTGGTACACTGAAAGTTTAATGCCCCCTCCCAGGGGTTCTGCGTCAGTATCTTGGTAGGTTAGGCTACTTGACATAAAAACACAGAATGACATGTTGAACCTGTCATTATCTCAGCCACGGGCTATTGTGTTTCCCAAGACAGATTCAATGTGAAATGTCATCAGTATTTCATTAGATGCGGGGTAAAAATAGCTTGTAATGGCTTCTTATTGTTTTCTCGTGCAGTTGGTTGGTGCAATAGAATCCAAATTGCTTTGTGTCATAGGAAAATTGGGATAAAAATACAAAAAGAGGTCTGAGACTACTGGTTCCTGACCCGAGTACACTCTTAAAAATAAAGGTGCTTCAAAAGGTTCTTCAAGCGATGCCATAGAAGAACCATTTTTGGTTCCACAAAGAACCATTCAGTCAAAGGTTCTTTAAAGAACCATGTCTTTCTTATCTTTTTATAATCTGAAGAACCTTATTTCGCCTCAAAGAACCTTTTGTGAAACAGATGTTAAAGGTTCTTCATGGAACCATTTAGACAAAAAGGTTCTTCTATGGCATCGTGAAGCACCTTTATTTTTAAGAGTGTATACTGCTCCAAACACCTTTAAAACCAGCCAAAAGACCAGTTAAGCCAATTTTTATTATTATTTTTTATTTCTTATTTTATAGCAGGGTAATGGAGACTGATGACCTAAAGCACAGGCACTAAGTTGCACTTTTTGTGTCAACAAATCTATTTATATTATAATACAAAGACATTATAGGTTACTCTACAACGGTTGGTACTCCAGAAATATTTTTCTTCTTCTTTTTTATTTTATTTGTTGAAACCATAGCATGATCTATTCATTATATATATTATCATATTACATTTGTTTTATTGTTATTTTTTAGGACTGCAAAACAAGTATTTTGATTCAATTCTAAATAATATAAAGAGAAACATTCAAACAAACATGAATATCTACAGAAGTGCAAAAACACAGTTAGTGCCACACAACAAAGATGAAATATCAACTTATTTTTCATTTTAATTAATTTTTTCTGAGATTTAAAATTTTCTTTCATGCACATAGAATTTCTATAAAACTATATATATATATATATATTATTTGGATCAAAATGCAATTATATAAAAAAATATACATAGATGAAGTAAAAGCTTGAAATGTTAGAACCACAGAGAAGATACAATCAACTCTGTCCATCAATGTAAAGTGCTTGGTGAAGATGTATAACTGGGAGAAAAATAAAAACAATTTTCAGGAAGATCTTACAAAGCAGATGAAATTACTTGGCACTCGTCACTGATATCAGCTGTTCATGTCACATCTCTCACCCAGCAAACAATGGCAGAATGGAAGTTCCTGCAAAGCTTATAAACAAACAAATGTCATGCCATGAAAAATAAAAAAAAGCCTCAATAAAATGTAAATAGTTTTAATTACATGGTAAACAAAGGAAAACAATATCCCTGGTAACCTCCGAAAAGCTTGTATTGTTCTGTAAATCGGAAAGAACAGATGGGCTTTGATGCTTGTGGTGTTACTTGGATGGAAAAACCAACAAGTGAACAATGCGTACATGCAGATGAAGCGATATGTGAGGTTTTGTGTGAATTTCTGTACGATTATACATGAGATATCTTATTGGGATAATGCAATTTAAAGATATAATATTTCAGGATAATGTGACCCAGATATAAAAGCCGAAAAGACCTTGAAGGCACTGTCGGTTTTGTAAGCAACACAAAGCAGGGGCAGGTGAGGTGACTTTCTCATGCTGCTGTGTATGTCACCATCACCGATTAAGGCTTAAGTTCTTAATGAAATTCAAAAGAGAAATTACTTTATAGCAATGAGTAGAGTTAATTATATGAAAGCCTTGCCAAGCAAAGTAGCCTATAGATGTTGCTTTAAAATGTTGTTGTTGTTGTTATTGTTTAATGAACTGACATTTTGGCAAGACCAATAAATGAGAAAGCAAAGCGTCACAATTTGTCTAAATTTTAATGGACATAACTGCATGCAGCACGAGTAAAATACAGTTCCTGCAAATAAACATGGCATGACTTTTACCACTAGATGGAACTATTTGGTTTCATTTGAAGGTTACCATGTTGCACAAACACCTCAGTTGACAAGCACAAAAACTTTAACATATAATAATAAAAGCCCAGTCACAGTTTATATTATGAGTAAATTATAATAATTTCATCATGTAAAAAAGTAATGCATAAATTGCCGCATTCTGTATAGGCTGGACAATTGTTCAGAATGACAATTAAAATTGCAATTATTAATTAAGTTATTACTTAAAGAGTATTGCCTCAGGCCCAGTAAGCAAACTGAGTAGGCCTACTTTTTTCAGATCATATTAACGATGAAAAGGTCAGAAATGAATAGATGTCAACACAACTCTTCCCTTAAAGACATCCAAGGTCAAGTTTCCCTTCATTCTGTCAAACACGTAGACGCATATTTAGACTACTGCTGTCTGTTAGGATTATATTTTGACTAAAAATGACCCATATGTAATATTCATCATTTTTCCCACTTTTTTTCCCTGCAAATGTTTCTGCATGATTGTGTTCAAAAACGTGGTATTCACAATTATTTCTAGACATATGTGTTTAGATTGTTTAGGTTACCATAGACTCGCTCTACTAGCACAATGCTGATGTGTGCAGCAAAGACTTCTGGGAATCAGGTTTGGTCCTATGAAGAGCTGAACTGGGTGGCTGCTGCCACTCGCACACCAAACGCATGATGTTATGAAACATGTAAACAGCTGAATATTATAATAAAATCTGATTTAACAGGGGCAAGTGCGGTGAATTAATCGTTCTTATGAGTCGAATCTTTTCAACGAATCAGTTGAACCGGTTCACGGATCGGACTAAACGAATGGTTCATGAACCAGTGGTCCAAAAGAACCGAGAACAAAACTTTCGGACATGTCCGATTCGCAGTGATCTGATCCGGATTATTTGGAAGGAATTTTATGTATTGTTGTATTACTCAGTCATATTGTAATTTTTTTTATTTAATGCTAAAAATAAAAAATAGCTGCTTATCACAGCTTGATACACGCATACAAAACAGAGTTGGTTTTAACGTTCTATTAAAATGTGCAAAAACTTTTTTCTGCCAAGAGAATTTAGAATTTAAAGGGGTCATATGATGCGATTTCAA